TATTATAATGGGAACCCAAATATAGTAGGACCCCGTATTATAGGGAATTTAGACCAATACCCATGTACACCCTTCTTGGGGCCGAGGCTCCAGGGATTGGAGAGCCTCGGCCAGAGTCTCGGCTGCCTCTGCAGAGAGCCGGGCGGTCTGATCCTCCACGAAAGCGACCACCTGTTTCAGTTAGGATTAGGGTGAAGGGTTTGGGATTTAGGGTTTCGGGCTAAGAGTTTAGGATGTAGGGTTTAGGGTTAAGGGTTTAGGATTTAGGGCTTAGGGTTTAGGATTTAGGGTGTACACGGGGATTATATAGGGTTATTTAGGGCTACATAGGACTGTATAGGGTGATGTAGGGCTTGATCAAATAGTGTGATATAGAGGATTATTCTCACCCCAATAGCGGGAGCACAAGATCTCAGGAAAGACCCAATAATTGGGTACTTCGGATTTGGGCTATAAAATTGCAGTACAGGCTTTGGGGGAAGAAGTAAAGCAAATTGTCCGTAGTGATATCATTGATGGAGGGTCAAGTGGAAAAGGAGAATCAACATAACATGAGACATAGTCTATATAGAGATTTTCAATAGGTCGCACAGGAAATTTCGACCCCCCAACCCTAAGCCGTGGAACCCAAAGGGTCACAGCTTCCTATTCAATACTGAGATTTAGGATTTAGGGGTTAGGCTTTAGGGATCGAGAACTTCAGATCGAAGATCTATATGGTTTAAGGCCTTTATAGTCCCCCTGTAGAAGATAAAATATGGGGTATATCGGGATCTTACTTTCATATACGCAAAGCCATATTCTATCTACTTAAGGGGGACTATAGGGACCTACAGCACACAAACACCCATAGTGGTAGACTATTTACCCATCATTTGGCGGTAAGGGCCATTGGTCTAGGCAATTCGGAAATCTAATTAATTCGAAATATCTAAAGCAAAACTATATAAATCTATTCAAAGACAACTTCCAATCGCAACCAAACCAATGCACTCCTATATAACGTCAAATTGAATTCTAGTTCGAACCTGGTTGAAATCAATTGGGATCTAATTAAGACCTGGTTAGAACCTAAGTAAAAGTGTTTTCAGATCGAAATAGAACCTAGTAAGGTCGCAATCACTTTTTTTTGTTTTTATAAACTCCTTTATAGAAACCCTTCGACCATCATCGACACCTAGGAAATGAAGGAGATCCCTGATCCTTAAGCGTCGTGCTAGGGACCCCCCCCTAATTCAGAGGATCCGAGCCGTAACTAGCTTCGGTCTTGGTCCTTTTTAAAGTAGTCAGGTGGGGGGGGGGGCGCCTTTCAGAATTTGGACTTCCGGAGAGTCTGTACTTTAAATTAAGGAGAGTGTAACATTAGCGGGAAGCGAGTGAATCTGATTACATACATATTTCGACATTCTTCATGAAGTCATGCTCTTCATCTGATGAAATGTCCAGCATTCCTTTTCGTAAGGGTTTGACACGAAGCTATGGGACCACCTTTGACATAAGGCAGGCTCTTCCTTTCGCGTAACTGGACCCTGCGGGTGAGCAGCCACCCTAACTCTAAAGGTAGATCCAGACAAGTGGCTGTCTTCTCGCTGTCTTTCTCCTGCATTACAGAACTCTAAGGATCATAGAGCCCAAGGTAAGTATCATCAATACACTTTGGCAGGCCAACAATTCCATCGACTTGGAGAATCAGGGAAAATGATACATACAAAGCAGCGCTCGGAGTCCCCGAAGTTTCCCTACACTGCTCGTGAAAGGTCTGACCTACAGCCCTATAACCGTACCTGGCACCGGAGTTGAACACTTGCATTTTCGGGAGGCACGGGATGAACAAAAATGAATGTCACATTGGGCCTCAAGCTTCTGAAAATGTGGCGCGACGTAACATGGAGCTCTTCCACCATGACTACAAGCCCTTCCAAACCTGCAAAAGGCCCGGATGAGCCCCCAAATGAGCTATAATTAACCCCATTGAAGGAATTTAGACCCAAAACCCTAAATCCTAAAGCCTAAACCCGATATGATCTCCTATATAACCACCTTTAAGGAATTCAGGCTATAGCTCAAATGGTGACATGCGTGTACCCCCTAAACCCGAAACCCTAACGTTAGGCTTCATAATGGAAGCTGGGCCTGCAGGCTAGACGCTGAGCCTCATCATGTGGGGTGTGCTAAAATTCGGGATACCCTTAAAGGGGGATATAGGGGGTTATACAGGGTTTAGGATTTGGGGGTTTGGGTTTCCTAATAGGGGTACCATTTGGGGGTCCCTATAATGAAGGTTATAATATTTTGGGGTCTATATCGGGGCCCCCTATTTTGGGAAACTACTATGTGGGACACAACCTATCTGCACTGTAGGCTTTTCAACATTTGCAACCTGTTCTCCAGGCACCCTAGCTTAACGGCTTTCAGGTGGCAGTCCCCATGAAGGAAAGAAGCCGTCAGTGTAGCTACTCAAGCAAGAAGCGAAAGGTGCAGTGAACTTGCAACTGGATATTCGGCTTTATGGTTTAGGGTCTATGCTCGAAAATCTTGCACACCTTAAAGCTGCAAGCTCAACATCCGCGACATAATTTAGGGCAACTGGTCCTCACCCAGGCCCTGGACGCATACCCTAATACACATACAACTGCTTGTGCTGGGGCAAACAGAGCATGGAGCTCAATATGATTTTTTACATGAACGATGAATGAGACATCATTGCAGAACACCCAAGCATCCTCTTTCCTCGGAGTATTGTTTGCCCCTCCATATCACATTCACTTTTTGCCACCTTCCGAAAAGTGAGGGCATGCACGAAACATGGGCATGTCCACAACAACTCTTCACTACGGAATCCGGACAGAAACCCAGACCCTATAAACTATAAGCTCTAAACCCTACCTAGAGTAACGTATATGCCTAATAAGATGGGTTTAGTACCTAATATTTTGGTGTCCTTACCTTTTTCAAGCGTCTAGGTTACTCTGTGTAAGCCCTAAGGTTGGCCACGCTGAAGCCGAACACATCAACATCTTTAGGGTTTACTTACCCTTGGTAAGCTGGGAATAGGAAGGAATGGACAAGAAAATGGAACCTACAGGGGGGGGGGGTTATATAGGGTGTAGGGTTTGGGGTTTAGGGTGGGAATGAAGGAAACTACTATAATGGGTTATATATGGACCACTATAAGGATCCATTCCTTCATTCTTAGCTAACCACTGGTGAGTAGTGCTTTTTTTGGTGGTTGAACCTAGTAAGATAATATTACTCATATAAAATACTATACCCAAAAGGAGGATAGAATCTTACTCTATAATGGGTACCATAGTATTCCCAAATAAAATACTACTCAGGTGAGTTTAGGGGGTGAGGTAAATGTGCTCATCCTCCCGCTTGGCTCGTTCCAGGAACGCAGCCAGCTCGTCTTCTTCTTCAATAGCCTCTGCACAGGTGACTTACTAGCGGTTAATGTAGACCCATGATGAATAAACCCCCTCTTTTTAGGGGCCCTAATATTAGGATTCCTATTATAATCCCTATCAAGAGGAGGGGGTTTGTTAATCAGGGGTCTGGGTTAGTAAGGAGGAAATCATTTAGGGATTACATTCCCTGATTCCCTCACCAATAAGATGAACAGGGCTAAGGGATGAGGATTTTGTTTTTCTAGTTGGTTTAGGGTCAATGCTTTTGGGTTCAGGAATCAGGTGTACGGTCGGGGGGCGTTGGCCCCATTGCCGGAGAGGCGGGAAGTCGACAGACTTTGTGCTTGAGGGATTCCATGGGGTGGGTCTGAGATTAACTCCAAGGATGGGCTTCGGGATCTAGAAGGCTCTAGACAACGCTCTTTGGATATGGGCCCCTCTGAAGTACACAGAAATTCGCAAAGCCTATCATTTTCCCCGCGCAGAATTCTCCGCAATGAGTGGACAGGATCATTCAAATAACAGTCATGGCGAGATTTGAGCCCTTTACTCACCTGTTCTTAGTAGGCAATAAGTGACTTTCATCCCTAAATAACCCTACATAACTCCTACATAACATATTCCCTATTCCCTTCTTAAGAACCACGAAGTATACCAGCAGTGCCATTGCCTCGTTCATGGCCAACTTGAAGATAGCTTTCTCCTGGGTGTCTGTGACGAGATCATCAGTCCTCTCAGTTGGGGTTTTCGCGAAACACGGGGGGTTGAATCATCCGGCTGCCCTTCAATATTTAACTGGCAAAGCTGATTCTGAAACGCTGTTTGCTTGCTAAGGATTAGTTGGATTTGCAGACTCAAACAAGGGTCTATGGCAGAGTCTATGGCTACCCCTCAGGGAGCTTGCCTGACAGGATCTCTCGTCAGATTTTTGGACCCCCCCCTGGAAAAGGAAACGTATCAGAGTCAATAGCTTCGGAATGGAAATTTCTACCAGGAACCACTTGTTTACCTGCCTACTCTTCAAATGATAATAGAAAAGTTGTTTCAAAGATCGAAGAGAGCCGATGCGAAGACCTCTAAGCGCCCGATTCCCGAGTCACCCCCCAATCCAAGCCCTAAGCCCTATACACCCCTACAAAGCCCTAAACTCCAAGCCCTAAACCTCACAGCGCAGCCGTAAAATCTGTCCCGCCGGGCCCTAAACCCTCAACCCTAAACACTAAAACTCTAAAAACCTAAACCCTAACAACCTAAACCCCAAGAACCAAAACCCTCAAACCTAAACACTAGAACCCCAATCTCCCCCTCGGTCCCGGGAACGGGTCGACTGTCAAAGTATTGGACAACGTCAAAGGCAAAGTACAAGGCACTCCGAATGCGCCGAGTGCTGCTCTGGACAGGGTGGGAGGGGGCTTGGGTTTAGGGTTTACAAGGGTTTGTAGTTTAGAGTTTAGGGTGCTGGCTTTACAGTAGGGTGCGGTGTACGAAGTGTTTTGGGCATCCAAAACTTTCGGCATTGGGAAATTGGGGCCCTCTGAAATGCTTCGAATTGCTTCGAGATTCCCAGAGAGCTGAAGTCACCTCAATCCAGAATTGGTACTAGCATCCGGAAAAAAACCAAGGCACATTCCTAAACTCCGGGATATCAGCCCTAAGCCCTAAACCCTCGTTGAGCCCCCTGGATTGGTGGTCAGCTTTGGAAGCAAGAGAGCCTACAGATCACAGATATGAGCTTGAAAGCTGGGTGGTAACATGCAAGTTGCACGCAGGCATCATCCTCTATAGTCCCCCCTAAGTAGATAGAATATGGGGTATGTGGGGATTTTATCAGACTATACCCAAAGCCATATTCTATCTACTTAAGGGGGACTCTAGTCCCTTAAAACTATCATTGATGGCCCTGGTGTTCTGTAATGCGCCGACCTAGCTTGCAGCGCTCCAAGTTCGGATGCCTTCAGTCCCCCAACCACCCTGATGATCCCTTATGCTCTAAGGGATTTGGAACCCCAGTAGAAATTATAATTTCAGCTAAATATTAGGATTCTAGGTAGCCGAAAGTGAAAATTATTTTCAAGAACCTTGTAGTATGAACCTCAGCAGGTGGTTCTGTAAGCATAAACGATGCATCGATCTCACGCATGAGAACACCTGAGCTGACGGGTCCCTAAATACCTGCGGCATACAAGCCTCTCTCTCTCTCTCTCTCTCTATATATGTACATATATATACATGTGTAGATATAGATATACATGCAGAGACAGACAATCGTATACATGTGTACATATATATATATTTATGTATATACACACAGATATGCACTGAGAAAGGTCTGCAAGGAAGGGTGTATAGGACTTTGGTAGCATCGAATCTTATCACCTCGAGTCTTGGCAGACTGAAGCACCTCCCCCACTCATACCTGGCAAGCTTCCAACAGAAGGCACAAACATTACGGGCAATGTTCCGTGTAAACTGCTAGTTGGGTTCGAGGCAGGGTGAAGTCGTCAGAATTTGCCCAGTACCGATCATCCCCTTCACCCAAGCTCGAACCCCTATATAATTCTTACCTAAACCCCAAAAATGTAAAATAATAGCCCTAAACCCATAATAATAGCCATAAAGGCCATTATTTTACATACTTTTGGGGTCCAGGTATATGACACCGATATCGATCCCGATCTGAATATGGGGCTCCCTGGCCCTAAACCCTAAATCCTAAACCTTATCCCGATCTGGGGTATGGGGCTCCCTGGCCCACTCGCACCTCGAGATCGGCGAGAGACTCGTGAGCCTCGCTCACCGCAAAGGGAGCCTCAACCTCCTTCAGGATGAAGGGCTTACATGGAATAAGTAGGTTGGGGTTAGGGTTTAGGGTTTAGGGTTCAAAGTTTAGGGTTCTTCAAGATGAAGGGCTTACTTACAGGGATTATAGGGGTTATATAGGGATAATATAGGGTAATGGGGCTTAGGGTTTACTTAGAAGGTAAGACGAGGCGCTTACTTGGAGGGAAATTGGGCCCTAAGGGGTTATGTTGGGGTTACACAAGGATAATGGAAAAGACAAAGGAAACTACTAGGTGGGGTTTAGGGTTTAGGGTTTGGAGGGTCAGGGGGACTTAGTAGGTAGCTTAATAATTAGGATAACTGGAGTTACTATATGGGTTATAGGGGCTATTAACCTGCTTACTAAGTCCCCCTGACCCTACATGTACTCAGAAGTCCACAGAAACAACTGGTTGCACAACCTCGTAGCAACAGCAGCGTCCTTCAACAAAAATTGAGGTTTCAGGTCCAGGGTGTGACTGTGTGAGCCTTGTGCTTCACCAACAGTACAGAACCTTGACTCAGGAGCCCCATCACCTGTCTTGGAATCCTAGATATCCCTTGAGTCCCCGTCCTAGCCTTGCACTAGTTTAAGCTATCTCATTCAACATCCCAAGCACTAAAACATCTCGACCCTAACTTTCAACGGTACTGGTCTGCCTCGGAGGGATTACTTTCTGCCAGACGTACGGTCTATAAAGCAAAGGCAAGATTGCGGGCGGCATATTCATTGCCCGGCTGCTCAAAGAGCTGAGAATGATATGCAGCGTGCAGTGGAGTTATGGAATGATGCGAATGCCATCTGGGAGGATAGAAATCCCTAAGGGTCCACGTACCCAATAATTAGGTACTTGGGTTTCGGGTAGTAGCAATTATAGCTTGGACCCTGAGGGAATGGAACGGCTGGCAGAGATGCCGCACCAACTTAGGTACTCGACATCCAGGCGCTTGGTGCCCTCCACGAGGCTTTGAATGTTTGACCACGCTTGGGAACTAAAGCCGTCAGGCCTACTTACATTACAACTCTTACCATTATTACGATTATTACAAACATTAATGACTGTTCTTATTGTACCTTCCAGGACTTGCGGTACTTAAGGTGATGCAGGAATCCTTCCATCAACAGTAGTGCTTGCAATCCCGAAGTTTCTAAAGAGCCAGTTGGCCAGCACATAGCATCCTGCGGCTTAGGGTTTTGGGTTAAGGGTTGAGGGTTCAGG